TTTCCCGCCACTGTCAATCCTTTTCTTGTAGTATTATGGTTGTTGTTCAAGGTCCACTTATGAATGAGAACATATGATACTCAGATCTTTGTTTCTATGAGAGATCACTCAGTATTATAAACTCTAATTCCATCCAGGTTGCTGTGAAATTCATGATTATGTTCTATTTTATGGCTGCGTAATATTCCATTGTGTATATGTACCACATCTGGGAATATACCCTGAAGAACTTAAATCATTCTATAAAAAAGATACCTGCATACGTATGTTTATCGCATCATTGTTCATAATAGCAAGATCATGGAACCAACCATGCTGTCCATCAAAAGAGGACTGGATTAAGAAAACTGTTGTTTTATGACTTTTATCTGTTTGTCATGGTTGTTTTGTTTCAAGCAGGTGAATTAAATCTGGTTTCTGTTGCTTCATCTTGACCAGAAGCTGCATATTATATTGGAAACACTTGGAGAGCTTGTTATAACTACAAGTACCTTGGGCCATACTCCAGTCATACTGATTTACAAACTATAACAATAAAGCTATGGTTCTTGAATTGTGTACCAAAAACATGCAAGGTGTTAGATATACAAAGTTAAATTAGACATAACACTGTTTACAAAAAGTTTATAATCCACTGAAAAAGACTGGGTAAGCCAATTTTTATGGTACAATATACTAAGTATAATGTCTATGTTCGGGGTGCATTGGAGTATCCTAATGGGGAAAGTCATCTAAACACAGGTATTGCCCCGTGATGGCCAAGAGAAGGTTTGCAGATGATTCCAGGAGGATGTAAAGTAAATTGGAAAGATGGGCTGGAGTTGTTTTAGTGAGCAGCGGGGGGAACGGGGGCTGGCAAGCAAGAACATTCCAAGTAGAGAGAATATTGCTATGAAAGCTCAGAGGTACAAAGTTGCATCATACATTTAGGGAACTGCAAATAGTTTACAACAGTTGGATCGAAGTGGAGGAAGGGTTGGTCTTCAGTGTCTCCATCTATAAAACGAGACTCCTTTATCCCCAACATTGATGACATTCATGTGAGAGAAGAAAACAAAAGAGAAGAACTCATTTTATTGAGAAGGGTAGGCACTGAAGCATTTGGTAATAGATAGATCCAGTTTTCCCTTGAACCTGAAAGTATGTCTGATTGACTTATTATTAAGTTAAAAATATATACATATCCCAGCGGGGCCTCCCAAATGTTAGGTCAGACCTGCCAGGGTGCGTTGTGTGATCCAATGCGACAAGAAAAATGCAAAGAACTGCACAGAAGTTAGATTGGAAAATATAGTTTATTTAGGAAGTAAATTAGAAGAGAGAGTAGATAGATTCACCTCCCCAAGGTAGGGAGGGGGCGAAAGCTAAGACACATGGCACCAGTCGCTCAGAGAGCCACGTGGACACACCAGAGTTTAGCAAAGCAATGGTGGGTGGCTGCTCCAGGTTGAATGCTTTTAAACATTGCCCTCAATGGAGGCAGGTTGTTTATTTATTTATTTTTTTTGAGTCGGAGTCTCACTCTGTTGCCCAGACTGGAGTGCAGTGGCCGCTCCCGGCCACCGCAGACTCGACCTGCTGGGCTCCAGCGATCCTTCCGCCTCAGCCTTCCAAGTAGCTGGAACTACAGGCGCACGCTACCACACCGGATAATTTTTTTATTTATTGTAAAGATGAGGTCTCGCCAAGTTGCCCAGGCGGGTCTCGATCCCGCGGGCTCAGGCAATCCACTCACCTCAGCTTCCCAAGGCGAGGGATTACAGGCTGAGCCACCAAGCCCAGCTTGGAAGCAGGTTGTTAAGGTGGTTAGGTGGTGGTCTGCTCATCACAGAGGGCTGGTAAGCACAGGTACTAATATCAAGTGATGGACCACAGGCAGATGGGTGGGTTAGTCACATGATTACTGCCACAGTGATGGGGTCTGTGTCACAAAGGTCGTAAAGTGCTGATTAGGTTAACCTGGGTCTTATGGGTGGCGGCAAATACTTGAAATAGAATAGCTTATTAGCAAAACAAGCTGGGGAAGGGGTTGTAAAGCAATTATCAATAGCTACCTGAGAAGCTGGTTCTGTCCTTCCCTAGTGAATTAGAGAGTAAACTAAAGTGAACTGCTAGAAAATATCACAAAGCTAAGCAATGTTAAAATGGCCGGGCGCAGTGGCTCAGCCCGTAATCTCAGCACTTTTGGAGGCCAAGGTGAGAGGATTACCTGCGCCGAGGGATTCGAGATCAGCCTGGACAACTTGGTGAGACCTCGTCTCTACAATAAATCAAAAAATAAGCCAGGTGGTAGCACATGCCTGTCGTTCCAGCTACTTGGAAGGCTGAGGTGGAAGGATCGTCTAAGCAGCAGGTCGAGGCTGTGGTGCCACTGCACTCCAGCCTGGGCAACAGAGTGAGACTCCAATTCAAAAAAAAAAAAAAGGCTGCTTACTGGGTACATTAAATCCATGCTATGTCCTTTCACTCATTCATATATTTGTTCATCATACATTTATTAAGGACCAATTTTACATTAGGACATGGTGCTAGAGATCCAGAAATTTGTAAGACCTTATAATTTGATAGCAGTTTTAAAAATTGTGTCTAACCGGGCACAGTGGCTCACACCTATAATCCCAGCACTTTGGGAGGCTGAAGTGAGAGGATTGCCTGAGCCTAGCCTGGGCAACTCATCTCTACAATAAATAAAAAAACTAGCTGGGTGCAGTGGTGCATACCTGTAGTTCCAGCTACTTGGAAGACTGAGGCGGAAGGATCACCTGGACCCAGCAGATGGAGGCTGCATTGACCGTGAGCTGCCACTGCGCTCTAGCCTGGGTGACAGAGTGAGACTTCTAACTATTTAAGTGATATCTTAAATACTTACTGTTGAACAAATTTCACTTATAAAAAATCCTTATTCTAAACGGCTTCAATTTCAGAAAAGTGATCAGTGATTGTTCTGACAGAAGAGGAAATTGTCAATTTAGCTGAGGACAGCACATATTGTTCTACGGACAGCTCTTGCCACCCAGGCTGGAGTGCAGTGGCATGATCACAGCTCACTGAAACCTCAAACTCCTGGCCTCAAGTGATCCCTTGCCTTGGCCTCAGCGCTGGGATTATAGGCCTGAGCCACAATGTCCAGCCTGAGAAGATACTCTTTTGACAGAAATCTTTCTACGTATTTATTTTACCTGCTACCCATCATTAAATACTACCACAAAGAATAATAAAGCCTTGGACCTTGGGAAGGAGTCGTGTAGTCACTGAGAAGAGCATTGAGGGTGGTTGGATTAATAGTTTGGTACCAAATGGAAGTTTTTCAAACTGCCAAATTTGCTGAGAGAAGTGAGTTAAAAAGCATAGGCATCCCTTTTCTCCCCCAAACTCGTAGCTGTAGCGGTACACTTAAGAGTTTTTTTAAGCTATGCCTCCTAACATGAAGAGCAACATCTTCCTAAAGGTTGGCTTGGAACAATGTCATGATTAGGCCATCCCATCTGTAGTTCAAAAATAAAAAGTCACTAGAAACAGAAGAGGAAGCACATGCTCGATTTATTGTTTCACCCTCCGTGAGGTCAGCAGACATCTGGAACACACTTTCCCTAAAGTAGCTAACAGAGGCAGGATGATGGTTATTGTTCTGAACATTGGAAAGGAAAATGACCGCTTATCTTTCTAGACTTCCCCACACACTCATTGGAGGCCTAAAAACCATCAGTGTCAGGGACCGTGCTGCTATATTCTACAAGCTGGAGCTGTACAAAGCCTTTCCCGATGCCCACGAAGCACGGTTCTGAACACTTCAGCGCTCCATCTGCCTCGTAGTCTTCAGCATCTCCTGTTGTCCACGCCGAGACCAGTGAGCACAGGATCATGGTAGGACAACAAGTCTTCCTGATGGCAAATCCGATATTTCAGTCTACTTCTTCATGTGAGATCCCAAGTATTTTTTCCTAGAGGGGGAGAAAAAAGAAATGGATTCTTAAAATTCCAAGTTTGATTCACCGTTGAAGTGAAAACACGTGCCCCGTTAACTCTGCTCTTATCCCAGGCATGACCCCAGGCTTGGAGACTAGGTTAGGCCGGGGGAGGGTGTAGAGAGGTGATTGGCATTCTTGGTGTGACTGCAAGGAAAACATCAAAGAAGGTCTTACGTTACACATCCAGGGCTATCACACTGGGTCTTTTCTTGAAAATGGGAAGGCTTTGAGGCTGTATTTACAAATCAAGAGTAGGTACTGAGAGGTCAATGGCTATGGAAGTTTGCAAACCTCCTCTCCTCTCCTCTCAAAGTGTTGTAGAATGAGAATGAGGTTGCCGGACTGTGAATGGTTCTCCACAGGGAGGAAAAAGAGCTAAGGAGTAAATGAAATTCTCAGGGTCGCTTGTTTGGCCTTTTAGATAGAGTTGCTATTCATTCGATGGACGCATTCACTGTCTACAAGGACTGGCTGCACATCTGTGGTGTATATAAAGTAAAGGGGGTGACGGAAGATTAAAGGAGTCATAAAATACATCATCTCACCCTCACAGATTTGCAGTGTACAGTAAGTCTCCTACATACGAATGAATTCCGTTCGGAGAGCACATTCATAAGTCCAATTTGTTCACAGGTCCAACAAAGCTAACCTAGGACCCAACTGACACAATCAGCTATACAGTACGAGTTATATCACTGCTGCTTTTATGCTTGCTTCCCAACATCCTGGACTTGAAATATACTGTGCTACTGTAATCCATACGGTAAAGTACACAAAAGCACAATCACTTGTAGAGAATGCATGCGCATGACAGTGTATACCAGACACATGAACTAATTTGTCTGATTGGACGTGAACTCACGTTCGCATCTTTGAAAGTTTGCAATGTGAAGGTTTGTATGTAGGGGACTTAGTGTAGTTGGAAAGATTAGACGCATTCATATGAAATGTGGAATACCGAGATAGGAACCCTGAGCTTCTGGACAGCTTGTACATGGGAATGTTTTCCCTCCTTCCACCCAGCACTGCAGGGACACCACAGAAAGCCACCAACATACTTGGGGCCAACGGAAGTCCCTGGAAGCCTACCACCCAGTGTCTTCTTTCTTTCCTGTTCAGGGTCTCTGAACACAGGTCCCAAACACTTGCATAGATCATATTTGCCCATAAATATTCTTTTACCAAACATTCTTTATTTTTTCAACACTTTTCTGTCACTTTGGAAAAATTAGTCCTTCTTCTCACATTCTTTTTCTTCTCTCTCCCAATTTCTACTCCCATGCTCCAAATTAAACTTACCGGTGGCCAAGAGTTAAGATTAAGGTTTATGATAAATTGGGTAAGAAATATATTTTAAATAGAAACTACAGATGTTAGAGAAACTAGTGCCATCAATTTCTAAAGCCTTTGAAAATCTACTTTAGTATTTCTACTGAATAATTCATCCATTTACTCTAATTGGAATTGTTTTTCTCTCTAGCACCAGCAGCCAAATTTAAAAAAAAGAAACATTAATTTTTCTGTCCTCTTTTTCTTTTCATTTGATTACTAGAATTAGACATACTATTTTTATAACAGATTCATTGAAATATAATTATACCATAACATTCACCTTGTTAAAGTACCTAGTTCAGTGACTTTTAATATATTCACAGAGTTGGGCCGGGCGCAGTGGCTCATGCCTATAATCCCAGCACTATGGGAGGCCGAGATGAGAGGATTGCCTGAGCCCGTGGGTTCAAGACCAGCCTGGGCCACTTGGTGGGACCATCTTTCTACAATAAATAAATTTTTAAAAATGAGCCAGGCGTGGTAGCATAAGCCTGTAGTCCCAGCTACTTGGAAGGCTGAGGCGGAAGGATTGCCTGAGCCCAGCAGGTCGAGGCTGTAGTGGTCATGAGCATACCACTGCACTCTAGCTTGGGAGACAGAGTGAGACTCTGACTCAAAAAAATAAAAATAAAAGGAGATGGGTCTCACTATGTTGCCCCGGCTGGTTTTAAACTCCTGGGTTCCAGGCTGGGTGCAGTGGCTCATGTCTATAATCCCAGCTACATGGAAGGCTGAGGCGGAAGGATCGCCTGAGCAGTGGGTCAAGCCTGTAGTGGCCGTGAAAATGCCAAGGCACTCCAGCCTGGGCAACAGAGTGAGACTCTGACTCAAAAAAAAAAAATTATTCACAGAGTTGTGCAAACATAACCACTGATTTTAGAAAATTATCATTACTCCCACAAGAAAATTCATATCGCCAGGCTCGGTGGCTCAGCCTGTAATCTCGCGCCTTTGGGAGGCCGAGGTGAGTGGATTGCCTGAGCCCTCAGGTTCCAGACACGCCTGGGCAACTTGGCAGACCTCATCTCTACAATAAATCAAAAAATTAGCCGGGCATGGTAGGGCGCGCCTGTCATTCCGGCTACTCGGAAGGCTGAGGCGGAAGGATCGCCGGAGCCCAGCTGGTCGAGGCTGCGGTGGCCGGGAGCGGCCACTGCACTCCAGTCTGGGCGACCGAGTGAGACTCCGACTCAAAACAAAACAAAAAAAAAAGAAAATTCATATCAATTTAGCAATTACTCCCATTCCCTCATCCCCTGCCCTGGCAACCGCAGATCTACTTTCTGTTTCTATAAATGTGCCTATTCTGGACATTTCACAAATATGGAATCATTCAGTATGTGACCTTTTCGTCTGACTTCCTTAGCTTAGCATAATGTTTTCAAGGTGTCTCCACAAATCAATACTTTCTTTTTATGGCTGCATAATATTCCGTTCTGTGGATATAATACATTTTGCTGATACATTCGTCATTCATTGGTTGATGGATATTTGGGTTGCTTCCGTATTTTTTTTTTTTTTTTGAGTTGGAGTCTCACTGTCACCTAGACTGGTGTGCAGTGACCGCTCCCGGCCACCACAGCCTCGACCTGCTGGGGCTCCGGCGATCCTTCCGCCTCAGCCTTCCAAGTAGCTGGAACTACAGGCGCGCGCTACCACGCCCGGCTGATGTTTTGATTTATTGTAGAGATGAGTCTCACCAAGTTGCCCAAGTGGGTCTCGAACCCGTGGGCTCAGGCAATCCACTCATCTCAGCCTCCCAAGGCGCGGGATGACAGGCTGAGCCACCGAGCCCGGCTTATTTGTCTTTTTATTGTTTTGTTTGTTTGTTTGTTTGTTTTTTATTTGAAGTCTCCCTCTGTCACTCAGGCTGGAGTGCAGTCACATGATCATGGCTACTGCAACCTCGACAGGCTGGGCTCAGGCAATCCTTTACCTCAGCCTTCCAAGTAGCTGGAACAGGCATGCACCACCACACCCAGCTCATTTTTTGATTTATTGTAGAGATGAGGTCTTGCCAAGTTGCCCAGGCTGGTCTTGAACCCCTGGGCTCAGGGGATTCTCTCGCCTCCGCCTCCTAAAGTGCTGGGATTACAGGTATGAGCCACAGCACCAGGCCCTGTCTTTTTATGGTTGAATTATAATAGTTCAAAATATATTCTAGATATGACATTTACTCGATACATGATTTGCAAGTATTTTTCCCTATTTTGTGGGTTTGGGGTTTTTTTGGTTTGTTTTTTATTTTTTACTTTCTTAATGGTGGTGTCCTTTGAAACACAAAATGGAAGTTTAATTTATCTACTCTTTCTTTTGTTGCTCATGCTTTTGATATAGAACCACTGTTTTTTTGTTTGTTTTATAGAACATTTATGGCATTTCAGCTACATTAATGGGTTAAATAGATTTTTGAGAGTTGGCCTGTGAACTCAGTTGATACTTATAATTTCTCCGAGAAAATATATTAACAGGACTCACAGTGATTTTAAAATGAACCCTTGAAAGACAGCCAGTGGGGAATTTCATCATTTCCTGAATATCGTCATTATGGTGCAAGCATGAAGTATTGGAGGTCAGAGGCTGGTGAGGCCCTTGAGCTGGAGGAATCAAGAAAGGCTTTGGGGCAGATGAGGGCTTGGGTGTGAGGGGTGGTTTCCTGGAAGGAAGAGGAGGCAGAACTGATATAATGTCATGGGCGACCTATCCTCCTTTTAAAATGAGTTAAGGCAGCTTGAATTTAGAATCCTTAAGAGCCTTGGTTGTTCAGATCAGTCACTGAGGGTTATCATACCTGGTGCAGAAGTGGAAAATAGAAAAGAACAGAAGACTGGGTAAGCTCACTTTGCAGCCACTGAAGACCACGACGGACACTTCAGTCCCTTGGGCAAGATCAGCTGCACTTTTCTTCTGCCAGGCAGTAGACGAAGCCTGCTTGGAGGTCCCAGGGTCACTCTGGCCATGCCTAGAGCGGACTCAGGCCTCTTGCTGGCTCCTGAACCATCCTATAAAAAGAGGACTAAGGATAATGTGGGGTGGAGGACTGTCCTTCTACGAATGGCCTAGGCCCGTTAAGACGGAAAGCATTTTGTCACGGTTGACCTTTATAGCCATTTGAATGTGGCCGTGTAAGGAGATCTTAGTGAATGGGGACAAAGAGGCTTTGCATGATGGTTCTCACCTGTAATCCCAGCACTTTGGGAGGCTAAGGCAGGAGAACAGTTTAAGCCTAGGAGTTGGAGGCCAGCCTTAGCAACATAGCGAGACCTCATCTCTGCAAAAAATTTAAACATTAGCCGGGTGTGGTGGTGCGTGCCTTGAGTCCCAGCTATTCAGGAGGCTGACAGGAGGATCGCTTGAGCCCAGGAGTTGAAGGCTGTAGTGAGCCATGATTGTGCCACTGCACTCTAGCCTGGGTGACAGAGTAAGACCCTCAATTCAAAAAAAAGGTATGGGGACAAAAAGTGGGGAAGGCATTGAGGCTGAAACATAGGGGGAAGATGTCTGTTTTGACTGATGTTAGGTAATTAAAAATCGACGAAAGTCTGCCTGTTTACTTTTTAGCGTGTGTCAAAACATCTCCATCAAAATGGCTGGGTCCAAGCAGCAATGACAAAATGCCATGAGCCCTGAATCTCTGCATGAGGACTAGCCCCAGCGGCCTGTCGGCATCTGCCAGTGTGAGGAACTGTCTGCCTGCCCTTGTCTGCCTGCCAGACTTCCATTGCCTGCAAAATCTGTGAAAACAGCAATCACATCTATCTAAACACTTTAGATCTCAGCATCTCCTCATTTCCTGTTTCATCAGATCATTCCCTCTCCTTCTACACACACACCCCACATACCCTCAGAGAGCTCAGTAAATATTTATTGACGATGAAGAAAATCACTAAAAATATGTTCCCATCAATGGGATAGATCTCTTGCCACTCAAGTGTCCAAAACCCATGAGAACTGCTTCCTAGATGCATTCCCTTCGCTTCAAAAACAAAAAACAAACAAAAAAAAACCCCTTTCTATCCCGATCTCCTCTGAGTTCTGAGAAGATTCATTTTTAAATAGGACACACTTACCCAGCCACCATGTTGCTGAATCCAGGGCGAGAAGTTCTCTTTCAGGTACTTGGCTCCGAAGCCCAGCACCCTGTTCATTGGGTGGTTGTCAATAGCTGTGAGCTTGGCTGTGACGTCTATTGCAAGGGCAGCCTTAAAGCCCTGAGCTTTGACCTCTGATTCTCCCCTGGTGTCCACGCCCCTCAGGGACTGGTCTATGATGGTCTTGAACATGGAGTAGGGCAGCCCGTCCTGGAAGCAGCTCATCAAAGCCTTGTCTTTCTTCAGCTGTGTACAAGAGGATATGCATTCAGTAGAGCAGCGTGGCCCAGGGGAGCAGACACAAGGCCACTTTAGCTCGAATGTGGGCCACCAAACCACCCCATGGAAAGCCTGGATGCTGGTCTCAACCAAGGCACAGTGTCCTGCAGAACCAGACTGAGCATGTGTTGCTTTGTGTTTTCATTTCATCAAGAAAATAAGTGATAAAAGGAAACAGTCCATTCTTTTGACATTCAATGAATATTTCCTGAGCACTTATAATTGGCAGGTACTATGGATGATTAAGGCAGGCCCTGCCAGGCACATGGGCTCACACCTATAATCCCAGCACCTTGGGAGGCCAAGGCAGGAGGATTGGTTGAGCCCAGGAGGGTGAGACCAGCCTGGGTGACATAGCAAGATCTCTTCTCTATAAAAAAGCAGGCTGGGCTTGGTGGCTCAGCTTGTAATCCCAGCATTTTGGGAGGCCGAGGCGAGTGGATTGCTTACGCCTGTGGGTTTGAGACCAGCCTGGGCAACTTCGCAAGACCTCGTCTCTACAAAATAAATTTAAAAAATTAGCTGGGTGTGGTAGTGTGCGCCTGTAGTTCCAGCTACTTGGAAGGCTGAGGTGGAAGGATCGCCGGAGCCCAGCAGGTCGACGCTGGGGTGGCTGTGAGTATGCCACAATACTCCAGCCTGGGTAACAAAATGAGACTCCAACTCAAAAATAAATAAATAAATAAAAAACTTGGCCAGACTTGGTGGCATGTGCCTGTAATCTCAGCTACTTGGGATTGCCTGAGCCTTGGAGTTGGAGTCTGCAGAGGGACATGATGGTACCACTGCACTTTAGTCTGGGCGACAGAGTGAGACCCTGACCAAAAAAGGGTCCCTCACTCAAGGGGCTTGAAATCTACTGGCAATTTCAAAACAGTGCCATGTGCTTTGCTAATGGTGGTGTGATGGACAAGATTCGAAACTTGGAAATCACTGTCTTAGCTCAAAGCCCCACTCCACCTCTTGCCAGCTGTGCAATCTTGAGCAAATTACTAAACCTCTCAGGTTCAATTTTGTCATATCTGAACTGGGATGGTGATAGTACCCAGACTGTAGGGCAACTGAAGACTTAGCCTAGTGCTGGACATGGAGGAGGTACTTTGGAAATGTTAGCCATTTCTCAGGACACTGTGGAAGCATGGAGATCAGGGAAGACCCCATCGCCCAGTTTCACTTGAAAACAACGCCAACCCACCCATTCCTTTCCCATGAACTGCCCAATTGATTTTACTTCCCATTCCTCCCCTGGAACCTAGCATTTCTCTGCTCTACCTCCTTTGCCATGCCTTAAAAAAAAAATTCAAAGCTGCCTCTGCTTCTTTTGAAAATCAGGACTTGTATCAAAAAGGCATATATCACCATCATTTAAAGTCATCCTTGCAGCCGGGCTCAGTGGCTCAGCCCATAATCCCGCGCTTTGGGAGGCTGAGGTGAGTGGATGCCTGAGCCCGCAGGTTCGAGACCTGCCTGGGCAACTTGGCAAGACCTCATCTCTACAATAAATAAAAAAAAATTAGCCGGACGTGGTAGCACACGCCTGTAGTTCCAGCTACTCGGAAGGCTGAGGCAGAAGGATCGCCAGAGCCCAGCGGGTCGAGGCTGCAGTGGCCGAGAGTGGCCACTGCACTCCAGTCAGGGCGACAGAGTGAGACTCCAACTCAAAAAAAATAAAAAATAAAAAATAAAGCCATCCTTGCAATGTCTGTTAATATACTGGTTGTCATGTGAAAACGGAAATTTCTTAGTAAGCAGGGACAAAATGTTTATTTGAAAATCCCCTAATTCTGTCCTTGAGGAATGATAAACTAAGCAGGTTTTCAACAAATGTTGTTTCTAAAAGGGAAATCTGGGGGAGATGAGTCAGGCGCTGTGTGAAGATTTTGATGCTGCCGTATCCTTTCCCTGAGCCAAGCCCAGCTCCTGACTACCAGGTCCTGTCTGAGTTTCAAATCCGAAGCCGAAATGACCGTCTCCCTTCACACCAAGAACAGACTCCTCTTCCTCAGCAACCCAACTGAGACAGCTAGGCTCTAAACCTTAGCGGGCAGCCGGATGTCAGGCCTCTGTCAGGACAACCCAAGAATCAGACGCCAGCAAGAGAGGCCTTCCACAGGCGCCCCCTGCCCCTTTTCCTGCCCTGACCTTCTGGGTTGCCCTTGGCTCTCTGGCCTCTCAGGAGGTATAGGATGAACTCGCGGGCTGTGTGGGCTTGGGGCACCCTCTGTGGCCAAGGCAAGACACCTCTCCTCAGTGTCACTTTCCCACTCTGTGGTGGGAGCTCACCACTCATGCAGTGTTGGGGCACCCTTCTGTCCCTCTCAGAGGCCTCCGCTGGAGAAACATATAAAGAGAGTAATAACCATGGTTTCCACATAAGTGATGTAAAATATCACCTGAAATCAAAAGAGAGCACCAGGCAAAGCGAGGTCTTTGAAAGTGGTAATTTGTGGGGTGAAAAAGAAACCATCACTCTCCATAACCCAAGAGATCACCTTCATCCCACCTCCACGGCCAGCCTCTCTGACCTCCAGCTGGCTGCTCCAAGTCACTGCTCAGGGATGTCGGGAAGAAGGTTACCGTGAGGGCCACAGAACCTCCAAGCTATAAAGAGCCCCTGGTGTCTAAAGGACTCTTCTGAGTTCAGTACTGAACTGCTGACTGGTCACCGGCACCTGCTTGCAATTATTCTAGTAACAGGAAGATCATTGCTTCACGAGGCAGCCCTTGATCCTGATGGCCAGCCTTGAGTGCCAGAAAACTCATTCTTACAATTAAAAAGGAATCACGCGCCTCTGGGAGGCTGAGGTGATTGGATTGCCTGAGCCCGCGGGTTCAAGACCCGCCTGGGCAACTTGGCGAGACCTCATCTCTATGATAAATAAAAAAATCAGCCGGGCGTGGTAGCACACACCTGTAGTTCCAGCTACTTGGAAGGCTGAGGCAGAAGGATCGCCGGAGCCCAGCAGGTCGAGGCTGCAGTGGCCAGGAGTGGCCACTGCATTCCAGTCTGGGTGACAGAGTGAGACTCCAACTCAAAAAAAAAAATAAAAATAAAAAGAAATCACAGCTGGGTGCAGTGGCTCAAGCCTGTGGTTAGCACTTTGGGAGGCTGAGGTAAGAGGATTGCCTAAGCCCAGGGTTCAAGACCAGCCTGGGCAACTTGGCGAGACCTTGTCTCTACAATAAATCAAAAAATTAGCCAGGTATATTGGTGTGCCTATAGTTCTAGCTATTTGGAAGGCTGAGGCAGAAGATCGCCTGAGCCCGGCAGGTGGAGGCCACGGTGGCTGTGAGCATGCCACTGCACTTTACTCTAGGATGACAGTGAGACCCTGACTCAAAAAAAAAAAAAGATGAAATCACTTGTCACACAATTTCTATATACATGGCTCTAGCACTGGAGAAATGCAGGGCTGTCCTTATATCAGGCCTCCTGTTCTGTCTCCTGCTTCCTCTGCATCTCTCTCCACACTCAACTTGTGGCACCCCTTCTCTCTCTCTTTTCCTCCTTTTTTTTTAGTTTGAGTCTCACTCTGTTGCCCAGGCTGGAGTGCAATGGCGTGATCATGGCTCACCGCAGCCTTGACCATCAGGGCTCAAGTAATCCTCTCACCTCAGCCTCCTGAGTAGCTGGGACTGCAGGAGGAAGCCACCGTGTTTGGCTAGGTTTTTTTTGTTCTTTGTTTTTGTAGAGTTGAGGTCTCGCCGTGTTGCCCAGGCTGTTCTTGAACTCCTGGACTCCAGCAATCCTTCCACTCTGGCTGCCCAAAGTGCTTGAATTACAGGCATGAGCCATTGCACCTGGCCTCTCACTTCTCTTTGCTTTAGCCCAACATCACCTTCCTGGTTGCCTCCCACTGAGCAGGCTTCTGACAAAGCTATTGAGAGAGGAGCCGGGAGCATGCCGTGACGGGATAAGGTGGCCGGCCAGTTAAGCGCTGTTCCTCCCTCCTAGAGAAGCCTGCCAAGACCTGACTCCTTCCCCATGTCCTGGCAAAACAAGGACATGAGTTCGCAGGCCAGGCTCTGAATGACAGACCCTGGAGATCACTCAGCACTCTGCGGGCGATGGACATGGAAGAGATAGTGCTCAGTCGAGAAGCCCTTTGGACCCCACTGGGGGCTGCTCACCAATTCTTTACCTGATGGCCACTCTCACATGTTCCTGATTAGAGGCATGGGTCTCAACTGCTAAATGGCAGGAAGTCCACACATTTTCCAAATAACACTAGGCTCTCCTCCTGGAGGAACCGCTAAGAGAGACCTTGAGCAAACAACAGTCTAGCAGCTATCGGGGGAGAAGATTCCAGAAGGGACTCCAGCCTGGGAGTGACTGTGGGACACAGAGATCCAGGCTACAGGGCAAATGCAAGAGTCTAAACTTCACTGAGGATCAGTTACGTGGGGAACGGGATTAATAATTCCATCCAGCAAATTTTAATTTACTGGTCTCTTTTCTTGCAATAACAAATTCCTTTTTTAGTTTCCAAAAATTCCAAGGAGGCTCCAGAAGGTTTACTTATGTTTTCCAAAGTGATTCATTTTTGAGATGCTGCCAGTATGAAGAGTTTTGACTCCAAGAGAAATAAAATTTAGGACTAAGTAGAAACCAGAACTTTGAAAAGGAGTAAGGTTGCAGCCTGGGGTACAATTCTATTCTCGTGCACTAGTGCATGGGCACAGACAGGATCTCATTTGTTCAAGGCCTCATTCATACCTCTCTCTCCATCTGATCTCCTGAATATTTCAGCAGCTCCACAATTTTGGCTATGATTTGGTCTTCTTCATCTGTCAGGGAAAATTCTAGTTATTTCTTTTAAGAGAGGCAAAAAATAATCCTAATTTTTTCCAGTGGCAGTGAATGCTTGTGGCTTGGTGAGGGATGAGGAAGTGTGCTTTCTAATTCTTAGCAAACAAATCTTACCTCGCCTCTTCTGCTCAGACACAGGGCATTCCAGACCTTTCTCCTGCAGTCCCTCCTTCCTTTTTCCCTCTTCTTACTTTGCTCAGCACCCCAATTCTCACTGTGAAACTCATCACTATCTTTACCATAAGCGTGAAGTTGAAGACATCATCAGTTCTACAACACATGATCCTGTCTATGAAGATATTTCAGAGAAACGTCCTTCCGGTTTTTGGACGTTTCCTCAGCAGATGGTGTGTTTTCCTTACGGACACCATAAATCCCATATCTGATCATATTCCCTCCTTTGTGTGAGCTGCTAGAAAATATAGAGCCAAATTTGTGGCCCACATCTAGGAGGAGTATAATCTTCCTGGCCTACATTTTGGGAATTAGACTAATTCCTAAACCCTTCTCATTTGCCTGTTCTTGTTTTCTTGTTACAGTATGTTTCAAATTGATTTATTTTACCTGACTAAAAGGTATTCTTTGTATGCCGTGTCTCCACAACAAGATGGGATATATATAAAGAAAATTAATACCCACCCCCAAGGCTAAAATGGCAGATGGGTAGAAGGATGGCTACAGTTGGTGTGTGCTGCATGTGTGGGAATGTGGGGGGTGGAGTATGATTGTTCTTGTCTCAAAACTTGCTAACAACCAGACATGATGAAAATGGTCTTGGCTATAGAACAGAATCCAAGCAGAGATAAGACAGGTCCTGAGACAGCAGCATTTCTTCTTGATGTCACCATCTCTGAAGTCATCATGGAGTCCTCCTGCGTGATCCTGACCATGGCGGGAGAGAGGCCAGGAAGGCCCAAGAAGGTCTAGAGAAGGGCAAGCCAAGCAGCTTGAGAGAAGGAGAACACGTGTCTCCACAGCCGTGCGTGGCTCTGTCTGGTGCTGCCTGTCTTGGGGAAAGTTGCTGTCACAGCCACCTGAGTCTCTCCCGTGTACAGAGGATGAGGGCTTAGCATTAGCTTGGTTTAGAGGTTGCCTTCCATCTCCCAGGTCTACTTGGGGTAGAAATAAAGTGTCGATGCTTTCTTTTTAGCAGACTCAGAGAGCTCCTCCTCTCCTCCAGCTCCCCTGGAGCCTCTGTGGCAGTTTGTGGGGAGACACCGATGCTTCTGGAGGGAGGACGTTCACCCTTTCGGGTGCTGTAATCCCAGAAGCCACCTCTGCTTCACGCACCTTTGGAGTCTGGGAAGAGAGAGAGCTGCGAGCCGGGACTGTGGTTGGTGAGGGAAGACCGGACCCAACTTCTCTTCCTGGACACTCCGTCCTGCTCAGGGCCAAGTTCCCACCAGTCTGACAGGATCTGCAGGCTCAGCTATTGCTGTAGTTTTGGTTCTGCCTCACATCCTGCACCTGACCCGGTGTCTGACCACCCTCTGCTTTTTCACGGGAGCCCAAAGCAATGTGATAAATCCCTGGCTTGATGCTCCAACCAGGGCAAACTGGCCCAGGGTCACTGGTAACATGATCAAATTCCTGTGGATAAGGCCAAGTGCAGGCCCTGTGTTTCCTTCTTTCCCTCTGTAGACTTTTCTTCTCAGTTAGCTGTGAGCTCAGCGTATTGGCTTAGCCTGCTGACACAGGCCCCTGCCTCGGGCTGGTGTCTCAGGCTAGAGCTCAGAGCCTTCAAGCATGTTGCTGTCATGCCCTGGGTCCAGGCAGCTGAGACTTTCAAGTAGGAGAGCCCCAGACTGAACAAATACACAAATGCTCCTTCACCTCTGCCCGGCAAACACTCCACCCCAAGCAAACGCTCAGAAGGAAAGTTTACCTTTCTTAGAACTTGAAGGTATAGACAGGCCCTCGAGCTGGAGTCCAGGAACCAGTGGTACAAAACTCTCTTTGGGCTTGCAGACTCCTGCCTGGGTTTCTTCTAGTGGTGGCCAGGAATACACAATTTCAGCAACTCGGTTGGCAATGGAAACAACTTTGGGGTCCACAGCTGAAACAAGACACAATGGTGCTGTGAGGCCTTTCCCAGAAGAACTGCATCTGGCTCGCTGGTATGCACAGTTGCCCAGGATGAAAAGGCCAGCCCAGAACAAGAGGAAACAGCCCAGGGGGATGTGTGGTGGGGGAGGGTCATTCTTCAGAAAGGACTGGCAGTTGCCTGGCAGAGGCCGGGATGTGGGAGGGTATACAGAGGAATGATTGTCACCTTGAAACAATTGCCCTTTGGCACTCTCTTTCTGAAGTCTTGCAGAATTAGGATCTCCTTTCCCGGTTGCAAGGCAAGAAACACAAAAGGGAGTGCTTAGTTCTTTACTTGAGGGAGTGCTCATTACGCTTTTATTTTTATTCTTTTTTCTGGACGTGCTTTATACCTCAGGGAGCCGGCTCCTACGTGCACAGGATGGCATTCTATAATTTGACAAGCATTTGGGGTTGGTCCCTGAGGAAAGAGTAATATCCCTGCTCTCAGGCCGTATGCATCATCCAAGTTCATTATCAAGTAAACTCCTAATTCCCCTAAGAACGGTCACACACCTTCTTTCTCCATGCACTTAGTGCTTATAGGTAAGCAAGAATGCACAGAGCAGTCTGTGGCCTTCAAGAATTTACAGTCCAAGGCCAGGTGCGGTAGCTGAGACCTATGATCCTAGCACTTTGGGAGGCTGAGGCCGGAGGATCACTTGAACCCAGGAGTTCAAGATCAACCTGGGCTACATAGTGAGACTTTATCTCTATATAAAAGTGTTTTAGGTTGGTCACGGTGGCTCAAACCTGTAATCCCAGCACTTTGGGAGGCCAAGGGAGGTGAGAGGATTGTCTGAACCCAGGAGTTCGAGACCAGCCTGGGCAATTTGGCGAGACCTCATCTCTACAATAAATCGAAAACTTAGCTGGGCATGGTAGCTACTTGGAAGGCTGAGGTGGCCATGAGTGTGCCACTGCACTCTAGTCTGGGCAACAGAGTAAGACTCCAATTCAAAATATAAAAAGTGTTTTATAAATTAAAAAAATAAAAGAATATACAGTCTAAGAAAAGAGTTAGCTCATGTTAAGCATTTACAGTATTGGTCCCCTGAATGCTGAAGCCTGTAAAAGACAAGTCAAATCTGCCCCTAGTTGGGGTCAGGGTGAGGTGGGTGGACAGGTGGAATGGCTTAGTTGTTGTGTAGCACAATTTTCATTGTTGATTTATCACTAAGCCCTTAGCTTTTGAAAGATTGTACAAGCTGTCTTTGATGTCGTACAGAGTTGCATCATGTGAGGTATGAAGAGTAACACTAGTTAATTCACAGGACTTGAGGAAAGTCATGGAGTGGGTTTTGGCCAGAAGGTTGATGTGATGTTAAAACTCCTGGGGACCTCCTGTAAATCCTGACAGATAGAAGAGGCAAGGGTTGGGTCCTGGGAGGGATTGGGTCCGTGAAAAGCAGGTTTTGGTATCATCATATGAGTAGCCAGGGTTGTTTCTGACCCTCTCTCCCTGGATTCCTCTATAGCATGAGAGCTCTTGTGCCTTCCCTTCGCCCTCTGGCCATTTCCTGAAAGCCCACAGAAGATAATGCTCTGTCTATCATGTCTTCCTTATGTGGACACCCGGCTTCAAAAGTCATATTTTTCATATTAGTCTATAGGGTTCAAAAACAGATAAGGAGTCGGGCACGATGGCTCGCACCTGTAATCCCAGCACTTTGGGAGACTGAGGTGGGAGGATCGCTTGAGCCCAGGCATTCAAGACCCAGCCTAGGCAATCTAGCGAGATCTTGTCTCTACAAAAAATAAAAAAATTAGCTGGGCATGGTGGCACGCACCGCACATGTAGTCCCAGCTGCTCGGGAGGCTGAGGTGGAAAGATCACCTGAACCCAGGAAGTTGAGGCTGCAGTGAGCCATAATCATGCTACTACACTTCAACCTGGGTGACACAGTGAGACATCAACTCAAAATCAAAACAAAACAAAACCGAAAAAACCCCAAAACTCAAACTGATAAGGAGTGAATTAGAGAGAGAAGAGAGGTCAAGAAGAAAAGGATCAATGCCTTTCCTTCTCATTTTAAAACCCAAAGGGAATAGACTTTCTACTTTTTTTTTTTTTGAGTTGGAGTTTCACTCCATCACCCACACTGGAGTTCAGTGGCCGCTCCCGGCCACCGCAGCCTCGACCCACTGGGCTCCGGCGATCCTTCCGCCTCAGCCTTCTGAGTAGCCGGAACTACAGGCGTGCGCTACCACGCCTGGCTGATTTTTTGATTTATTGTAGAGATGAGGTCTCACCAAATTGCTCAGGCGGGTCTCGAACCCGCGGGCTCAGGCAATCCACTCACCTCAGCCCCACAAAGGCGCGGGATGACAGGCTGAGCCACCGAGCCCAGCTGACTTTCTACTTTTTAATTGCCTTATTGCAACCCAACCAGTCTCCACTTGGACACTGGACACCCACGGCCCCTGGCAAGGACACGGCAAAGGACGGCCTCCAAGAGTCAAAGGGAGCCTTCCCTTGTCGCGTCCTCAGTGATACAAAAGGAAAGCTCACCCCTGCAACCCTGTGCAGCCCATCCAGGGTGCCAGCGGCAGTTCTACCACCAGAAGTCTCTCTGTGCCTATCTTGCACCCTCTGAAGGCAGATGAAGGCCCTCAAAGGCCGCCTGTTCCTCCTCTCTACCATACTATGGTAGGTCAACCACAAGACCAGCGAAGTACCCAGCCTGACTAACCCATGTTCAGTATGTCGGTGCCTATGAGTTTGTGGATGTGGGATAAGGGATGCAGATGAAATATATGCAGGAAAAGCTGTAGGGGAACAAATTTTCACTCAGATGAGCCAGCTCTAAGTTAAGATGCCCATCTTGAGTACCTTAATTTTTAAGAATGAAGAAAGACAAGATCCCCTTCCTGCCAGACTTGGTCTCATCTGATAGGTAAGAAAAAATTGATGGGGGTAAGGAGATGACAGAAAGACTACCCATCCTTGGGGATTAACTTAGGGGACCACTGTGAGGCCAGGAAGAGCAGGAGAGCAAGCTTGGAGGATGCCACTCCGCCTGTGGCCTGAGGCATGGGCTTTAAAGAGAAGGGGCAGGGAGTTTGGGATTGACTTCTGTGTGGTAGAGACGGCTATTTCCCATTCAGTATTCATTTTCTTTTGATCTTTAGTAACAGACCCCTAAAATGTGAAGTGGCAGCAACAGACCCAGCCAGACACACCACACTTTCAGCCTCCCTCGCAGTAAGGGGTAGCGCGTGAGATGTAAGAAGTTGGGAGCAGTTTCAGGAAAGTTCTCTAAAAAGGAGCTGAATTATCTAGAAAGAAGACACCCCTTGTTCTTCCCTTGCTTCCTTTTTCTTCCTGCTTGAAATGTAGACATGATGCCTGGAGGCCCAACAGCCATTTTGGAATATAAGGTGACTTTGAGGTTAGAAGCTACTAACTGAGGATTGGCAGAATTCCCAGGAATCCCTAAGGACTTTCTGGAGTTACCAAGTCATACCTGAGCTGAACTTTTCTCTTCTTCTTTTTTTTTTTTTTTTTTTTGAGTCAGAGTCTCACTGTCACCCAGACTAGAGTACAGTGGCATGCTCATGGCCACTGCAGCCTCAACATGCTGGGCTCAGGCAATCCTTCCACTTTAGCCTTCCAAGTAGCTGGAACTGCAAGCGTGCGCCCCACACCCCGTTAATTATTTTGATTTTATTGTAGAGACGTGGTCTCGCCATGTTGCCCAGGCTGGTCTCAAACCTGTGGGCTCAGGCATTCCTCTCACCTCAGCCCCAAAGTGCTGTGATTACAGGCATGAGCCACCGTGCCTGGCTCTTGTTTTCTTTAAAGGGAGAGAAAAGTAAACCTCTGTATTAGTTTAGCCATAGTTATCTGGGCTTCCCACTATATGCCGCTGAGATCAACCTTAACTGTAACATTCCACATGGAATGAACCATAGCTATGGAGAAACATAAGATTCATAAGCAGTCGGGTGCAGTGGCTCATGCCTGTCATCCCAGCACTTTTGGAGGCCAAGGCGGGAGGAATGCTTGAACTCAGGAGTTCAAGACCACCTGGGCAACCTAGTGAGATCTCGTCTCTACAAAAAAAATGGATAAATTAGCTGAGCATGGTGACATGTGCCTGTAGTCGCATACTCGGGAGGCTGAGGCAGTAGAATTGCCTGAGCCTAGAAGTTGGAGGCTGTGGTGAGCCATGACTGTGCCCTTGCACTCCAGCCTGGGCGACAGAGTAAGTCCCTGACTCAGAAAAAAAAAGAGATTCACAAGTGAAGGAGCCTGGGTTGGTAATCTTTAAAATGTGTGTTAATGTCTATCCTGAGGCCTCTTCTTCATGGAGTTTAGTCCTAGGTCCTCACAGTTTCTATTTAGACCTGGTTCTGAGTCCTGGAACCAGACATGGCAGCACTAGACTACATTGTGACTTTTAGTTAAAAGAATCAGCCGGGCTCAGTGGCTCAGCCTGTAATCCCGGGCTTTGGGAGGCTGAGGTGAGTGGATTGCCTGAGCTTGCGGGTTCGAGACCCACCTGGGCAACTTGGCAAGACCTCATCTCTACAATAAATCAAAAATCAGCCGGGCGTGGTAGCATGCGCCTGTAGTTCCAGCTACTTGGAAAGTTGGAAAGATCGCCAGAGCCCCGCAGGTCGAGGCTGCGGTGGCCGGGAGCAGCCACTGCACTCCAGTCTGGGTAACAGAGTGAGACTCCAACTAAAAAAAAAAAAAAAAAAGAATCTAGGTGAAGCCAACTGCTGAGCTCTGATTTGTATGTGGCAAAATAGAAACAGAATGTGAGGCTCCCTTGGATCATTCCCAGTGTAAAACCAACACCAGTGACATAGAAACCATATAATTGGCTGGGAGCAGTGGCTCATGGCTATAATCCCAGCACTTTGGGAAGCCAAGGTGAGAGGATTGCCTGAGCCTGCAGGTTCGAGACCAGCCTGGGCCACTTGGCGAGACCTCATCTTTACAATAAATCAAAAATTACCTGGGTGTGGTGGTGCATGCCTGTGGTTTCAGCTACTTGGAAGGCTGAAATGGAAGGAATGCCTGAGCCCAGCAGGTCAAGGCTGCGGTGGCCATGAGTGTACCACTGCACTCCAGCCTGAGCAACAGAGCGAGACTCCAACTCAAAAAACAAACAAACAAAAAATGCCACATAATTAACTAGCATGAAAGTGAGGAAAAAGGTGAGAAGAGAAGTTGTACATATGTATTTAAATCTTCCTTTGGAAGTAATAATTTCTACTTCTTAGGGAGAATATATATAAAATTATATATATTCAGTTGCAGATACTATTCAACACATACATCTATTAACTTCTTTTTTTTTTTGAATTGGAGTCTCACTCTGTCGCCCAGACTGGAGTGCAGTGGCTGCTCCTGGCCACCGCAGCCTCGACCTGCTGGGCTCCGGCGATCCTTCCGCCTCAGCCTTCCCAGTAGCTGGAATTACAGGCATGCGCTACCACGCCCGGCTGATTTTTTGATTTATTGTAGAGATGAGGTCTCACTGCCTAGGCGGGTCTTGAATCCCCGGGCTCAGGCAGTCCATTCACCTCAGCCTCCCAAAGGTGCGGTATTACAGGCTGAGCCACCGAGCCCAGCTTATTATCTTCTTAAGTGTTCTTGAATTTAATCTTTTTTTTGAGTCGAAATCTTACTCTGTCACCCAGGCTAGAGTGCAGTGGCACGCTCTCAGCTGCTGCAGCCTCAACCTGCTGGGCTCAGGTGATCCTTCTGTCTCAGCCTTCCAAGTAGCACCACCATGCCAGACTAATTTTTTGATTGATTGTAGAGATGAGGTCTCACTAAGTTGCCCAGGCTGGTCTCGAATTTCTGGGCTCAGGCAATCCTCTTGCCTCTGCCTCCCAAAGTGCTGGGATTATAGGCGTGAGCCACTGTGCCTGGCTGGATTTAATCTTTTAATTTCAGTCTCACTTAAAGGCTTTCTTTCCCCATGGTGGGTGGAAGTGGGGGACTTCTCTCAAAATTAAAAAAAAAAAAAGTCAAAGGGTACACCAGTAAAATATCAAAGCACAGAATGCCATTTATCTCAGGAAGAGCCAGAAGATTAAAGTCTGTAAAGCCTTCTCAGTCTTCCACCAAAGTCTGTAAAGACTACGGAGGTGCCTCCAAGCTGTTCTTTGCTCCAGAGCCCAGATGCCTCCCCTAGCAGAAGGAGCCATGGTTGGGCAGGGTAAGGTGGAGGGGTTAGTGAGGGGGTGGCAGAAGGGAGAACCACCCCAAGCTCTAGAATTGCTATGGCCAACCTTAGCTGGGCAGAGTTGAGACAGCAGATGCCTTGCTGCGAAGATGAAAGCCCTAGGCAGTGCCTTCGGGTTGGCCTGGCTTGCCGCCCAGCTGTCCCTCAGTTGGCAAACCCTCTGTGGGCAAGCCCTCCTCGCTTCATGTCCATGCAACTTGTCCTCAGATAATCTGGTCCCTAACGCCCGCTGCTCGAAACTTCTGTAACTCTAACGGAAGGTGGATGCTGCCTTGATTGTAGTGACAGATCTGAAGCCATCCACAAGCAGGCTCATTCTCCAGCAAGCCAGGACAGTCACATTTAAAAACTGAGACATTACTGCCACCTGTTGACTAATTTTTTTTTTTTTTTTTAGTTGGAGTCTCACTCTTTGTGGCCCAGGCTGGAGTGCAGTGGCACGCTCACGGCCACCTCAGCCTCAACCTGCTGGGCTCAGGCGATCCTTCTACCTCAGCCTTCCAGGTAGCTGGAACTACAGACACATGCCACCACACCTGGCTAATATGTTTGACAAGTTACCCAGACCAATCAAATCCAGTAGGAGGGGTTTCTATGTTAACATCTGGGCATCATACACTGGGCATTGTTGCAGGGGAAGAAGATGCTCATGCCAAGGTGCTGAAGGGCAGGGTAACTGTCTGGGAGAAAGTTCTTTGTGAAAAATGTTTCATGCAAGGCAATGAATTTTATCCTACTCAGGGAAGATTTTATCAAAATGCTTCTCAGTTGTTTCTGTAGAATGGTTTAAACTTTAAAGAGTATCTTTTTTTTTCTTCCTGAGTCAGGGTGTCACTCTGTCACCCAGGCTAGTGTGAAGTGGCACGATCACGGCACACCGCAGCTTTGACCTCTTGGGCTCAGACGATCCTCCTGCCTCAGCCTCCCGAGTAGCTGGGACTACAGGCATGCACCACCCTGCCCAGCTAATAGTTTAATTTTTTGTGTGTGTGGAGATGAGTCTCAGTATGTTGCCCAGGTTGGTCTCGAACTCCTGGCCTCAAGTGATCCTCCTGCCTCAGCCTCCCAAAGTGCTGAGATTATGACATGAGGCACTGTACCCAGCCTAAAGGGTATATATATATTTTTTGAGTTGGAGTCTAACTCTCACCCAGGCTGGAATGCAGTGGCATGGTCATAGCTCACCACAGCCTTGACCTCCAGGGGTCAGGCGATCCTTCCACCTCAGTCTCCTGAGTAGCTGGGACTACAGGAGCCCACCACCATGTCTGGCTAATTTTAAAAATTTTTTGTAGAGATGAGGTCCCGCTATGTTGCCTCGCCTGGTCTCTAAATAACTCTTGTCCTCAAGTGATCCTCCCACCTGGGCCTCCCAAAGTGCTAGGATTATAGGCGTGAGCCATTGTACCCAGCCTAAAGAGTATTTTTATATGTAGCTGTCCGATCTTTTCATCAAGCGTAGTAGAGAAAGTGGGATACCCCCAATGGAAACACAGAGGCCCCAAGAGATGAGTTGACTTACCTCAGGAAGAAGGGTAGCCTGAGCCCCTGGCTAGGGCTTTTTTCTCTATATGTTCTAGGCACGGAGGATTAGGAATTTGGGCAGCAAGCTTATTTATGGAGAGTAGAGCTGGAAAACTGGTCCCACCCCCCTTCCTTGCCATCATCTTCTGTTCAGTCTTGAGAAAACAGGGTAATTCCTACTGAGTATGAATGAGTTGAAAGTCTGAGGTGCAGTGAGTACCCTATCTAAAGCCACTTTGCCAGATGGGAGGAGATGGACCAAAGAAGGAAATGGATTTGGGAGAGAAAGGATGCCTACCTTGGTGCCTACCTTGCTGCTCCAAGAACTGCTCCTCATCAGACTGGGTCTGGGACCCCAACTGACAGTAAGGAACCAGGAATTCTGCTGTTCTCGGAGAAAGGGCCTCAGGAGGCGAGCTCTGCACATCTTCCTCCTTCTCCACCACTCCAAAGAATGCTTTCCAGGAAGACTTTTTCTTGGCAAGGTTTATGGGCTTCTCACTGGACTGGGAACTTCGGCAAGGCCATGACACCTGTGTCCACGACTCATTAGTGGTCCAGCTCCCCAGCCCCTTCTGGGACCAGCTCCTTGCTCTCAGTGGCTTTGGCGAGGAGACGGCCTGGGGGCCCTTGAAGATGTGGTGTCTGGTGTAGTAGGCCAGGATTTTGAACTCGATGCTGTTTGGGTCATCGTCATCCAGGGGGACCTCCTCCAGGTCACACTTGCTGGTGCTGTACATGTTGGCCCTGAAACAACACAGCCCACACCATGCCACACAGGCCATGCACTCTTTGTAGGTTAGGAGAGGCAGGGGGGACACTCAGTAGCATTTACAGAGCATCTTCTCTGGGTCTGGCAGCTGGAAGGTCATCGGAGATGGAAAAGCTACAGTCTTACTGGGGTAGGGAGAGAGAGAGAGACATGGGCATAGAGAACTCCACACAAAGAGAGGAAGTTAAGAGTTCAAATGAAGGTGTAGATAGCCAGGTAGGGGGACAGGGAGAAATAGGTCATTTCCTCCCTCCCTCCCTTTTCTCCTCTCCCTCCCCCTTCCCCCTTCCCTTCCCTTCCCCTTCCTTCCTTCCTTCCTTCCTTCCTTCCTTCCTTCCTTCCTTCCTTCCTTCCTTCCTTCCTTCCTTCCTTCCTTCCTGTGTGTTTGTGTGTGACTATTGTGAATGGGATTGTACTTTTATTTGGTTCTCTGCTTGTATATGTTTTCTTGGTGAATAAAAATGTGGCTGTCTTTGCACATTGATTTTATACCCTGAGACACTGGTAAAATCCTTTATCAGTGCAAGGTGGTTTTTGACATATTCCCTTGGGTTTTACAGGTACAGGATCATACTGTCTGCAAAGAGGAATAGCTTAGCCATCTCTTTTCCTCTTTGGATATCCCTGATATCCTTCTCTTGTCTGATTGTTCTAGCTAGGACTGTCCAACACTATGTTGTAAAGGAAGGGTGAGAGTGGGAAGCCTTGTCTTGTTCCATTTTTCAGGGAAAATGCTACCAGTTTCTGTCCATTTAGTAATATGTTGACTGTGGGTTTATCATAGATAGCTTTCACTATTTGAGGTATTCCCTCTATAACTAGGTGTTCAAGGGTTTTTATCAAGAATGAATGCTGTCTTTTGTTAAAATCCTTTTCTGTGTCTAGTGATATAATCATGTGATTCTTGTTTTCACATCTGTTGATGTATTTAATTACATTTACAGTCTTGCAGCTGCTAAACCAGGCCTGCATCCTGGGGATGATGAGCCTACTTGCTCAACGTGGATAATTTTTGAGATGTGTTGTTGGATTCAATTTGCTAGACTCTTATTGAGAATTTTTGCATCTGTGTTCATCAGGGATATTGGCCTATAATGCTATTTCTTTGTTGGGTCTTTGTCCATCATATTAGTGTGATGCTAGCTTCATAAAATGATTTGGGGAAGTGGGGAAGGTTTCATCTCTTGATTTCCTGGAATACTTTCAAGAGGATTTGATATAAGCTCTTCCTTGTATATTTTGTAGTATTCTGCTGAAAAACCGTCTGAACCAGGGCTTTTTAAAATTTTTATTTTTGGTAGGTTTCTTATAATGGAGTCAATTTTCCAGCTTGTCATTGGTTTATTTAGGTCTCAATTTCTTGTTTCAAACTTGGAAGGTTGTATGATGTCATAAAGTCCTCCATTTTGTTTAGTTTTTTGAATTTTTTACCATTAGTTGTGCATAGTAATCTCTGATGATCATTTGAATTTCTGTGGGAATAGTTAAAACTTGATCTTTTGCATTTCTATTTGTGTTTATTTGGGTTTTTGTCTCTTTTTCTTGCTCATTCTGGCTAGTGGCCCCAAAATCTTATTTATTCTTTGAAATAACCAGTTTTTGTTTCATTGATTTTTTTTCTATGATATTTTTGTCTTCTATGTCCTATATTTGAACTTTTACTTTGGTGATCTGGATTCTCCCACTGAACCTAGGGTTTTGGTGATCTTGTTTTCTCAACTTCCTTAGGTGATTTGTTAGTCTGTTACCTCATGATCTTACTATTTTCTTGATGTGTGTTCACAGAGATATAAATTCTCTTCTTAGTAGTGCTGTAATGGCACCCCAGAAGTTTTGGTAAGATCTGTCTTTGTTTTCATTTGTTCCCAGGACTTTTTAAATTTCTGTTTTGATTTCTGTGTTGAGCCAGGAGTTGTTCATCATTGTGCTGTTTCGTATCCATGTCTTTGTTTTGGGAAAATTTTGTGGGTGGTAATATTTATTTTTATTCCACTGTGGTCTGAGAAGGTGCATAATAATATTTTGATTTTATGGAACTTGTTTGTGC